TCTCCCTGCGTCTATGGATGGGCCACAATTGGTCCCAAAATTTCCGTTGCTACACAAGACACTGGTGAAGTGAGCCTGGCCCCAATTTATGATGTTTCTTGCCACAGTTGTTAAGTGAATCATTACAGTTGTTAAGTTAGTAGCATGGTTATTAAGTAAATCTTGACTTTGCTTGGCCATAGGTCACAAAAAGGGATCACATGGCCCCTGGACACTGCGACCATCATAACTTTGAGTCAATTGCCAAACATCTGGATTTAGGTCACATGACCATGAGGATGTTGTAGTGGTCGTAAGTGTGAAAAATGGTCATGTCATTTTTTCAGTGCCGTTGTAACTCCGAATGGTCACTAAATGAAGGGTTGTAAGTTGGGGACTGTCTTTACTTCATTGGCCTAAATCCTGTCAGATAACTGTTTTAAACATTGATCGTCCTTGATCATTTATTTATGACACGTAGTCATAAATATCTAACATGTGAACATATCAAACACACCGTCTTCCTACTGTTTTTCCCACAACAGCAACATTGTGAAGTTGGTTGGGGTCTGAAAGAGGGACAGGTCCAGAGTCAACCAACTGGCTTTTATGCCTAAAGCGGGATTAGAATTCCCTGTCTCCTGGTGATTGGCCCAAAGTCACCCAGCTGGCTTTCATGCCTAAGGCAAGATTAGAACTTGCCGTCTCCTGATGATACGCCCCAAGTACACCAGCTGGACTTCATACCTAAAGTAGAACTAGAACTCACAGTCTCCTGGTGATTGGCCCAAAGTTACCCAACTGGCTTTCATGCCTAAGGCAAATCTAGAACTCTATTTCCTGGTAATAGGCCCCAAATACCCCAGCTAGTTTTCATACCTAAGGTAGAACTAGAATTCCCTAGCTCCCGGCGAATGGCCCAAAGTCACCAGCTGTTTCATGACTAAGGTGGGACTAGAACTCACTGTCTCCTGGTGACTGGGCAAAAGTCATCCAGCTGGCTTACACCGCTAAGGCAGGACTAGAATTCACCATCTCCTGGTTTCTAGCCTGGTGCCTTAACCACTGGACCAAACTGGCTGTCACGACATGCCTGACCAGGGAACCTCATCCAGTCAAAACAATTTTTGTGACAACTCACCTGAAACGGCACAGAATCACCATGGCGGTGGTGAGAGAAACGAGGGATGTGCTGTAGCCAACTGTATACAAAGCCTTGACAGATAGATAGTAGTAAGCCTGTGAATCAAACAGCAAAGTTAGAGTTAACTTTGAGGAAAGGTTAAAAGTTTAAATGACTTGGTTTTCACTTTCTTTGTCCAAGAGTCCAAATTCATTTCTTTCACTACGCTATACAGGTAGTCCTCAACTTGTGACCATTCATTCAGCAGCCCAGGAGACCCCCGGAGATAACCTATGCTCTGCATAAGAATGCAATGGGGAGAGCCTGGATTGTATGGCTGCCTGGCTCAATGACAGCAATAACTTAAGGACCATAATTCTGGACTCAGTTTGTGGTCGTAAGTCAAGGACTACCTGTACACCTGATCTACAACCCCAAATGGAGCAGCTTGTTCTGATGAGAGATTTCAGTCAAAGGATACAGGTAGTCCTCAAATTACGACCACAATTGAGGCCAACATTGGTAAATGAGACAGTTGCTAGCTCAGTTTTGCCTCATTTTACGACCTTTCTTGCCACATTTATGAACCGAATCAGTGCAGTTGTTGTTAGTCACAGGGCCGTTAAGTGAATCTGGCTTCTCCACTGACTTTGCTTGTCAGAAGGTCGGAAAACAGGGTTAACATGACCCCAGGACATTGCACATGAGCAACAACCATACCTAGAGTACTGCATCCAGTTTTGTTCACCACATTACAAAAAAGATGTTGAGGCTCTAAAAAAAGTACAGAGAAGAGCAACCAGGATGATTAGGGGACTGGAGACTAAAACATATGAAGAATGGTTACAGGAACTGGGCTTGGCTAGTCTAGTAAAGAGAAGGACCAGGGGAGAATTGATAGCAGTGAATAATGGATGGAAGAAATAATGGATGGAAACTGAACAAGGAGAGATTCAACCTGGAAATAAGGAGAAACTTTCTGACAATGAGAACTATCAACTCATGGAACGTATCAGAAGTTGTGGGAGCGCCATCACTTGAGACTTTCAAGAAGAGATTGGACTGCCATTTGTCAGAAATGGTGTAGGGTCTCCCGCTTGTGTGTGGGGTTGGACTAGATGATCTACAAGGTCCCTTCCAACTCTGATTATCTGTTAACAGTTCATTTAGTGACCAATTGAAGTTACAAGGGCATGGAAAAAAGTGACTTATGAATGTCTTTCACACACATGACCACTGCAGCATCCCTATGGCCACGTGATCAAAATTCATTTGGCAACTGACCCGTATTTATGACGGTTGCAGTGTCCTGGGGTTATACGATCACCTTTTGACCAGTAGAAAGTCAGATTCCCTTAACAACTGTATGTCTAATTTAACAGCTCCGGTGATTCATATAACAACTAAAGCAAGAAAGGTTGTAAAATGGAGGTAAACTGACTTAACACCTGTCTCGCTTAACAAAAGAACTTTTGGGCTCAATTGTAATAGTAAATGAAGGACTACCTGCACTTAGGCATAAATAGATATTAATCTAGCTTTCGGATCCCCTTTGGACATAGGAGGGGCAATTTAAGAATTTGCTGTGATTTACAGCTGGCAATCATGCCTCCAAAACAGACGTTATCTTCATTTACCAGCTTACCTGGCCGTTTCCTATCGAGGTGTCATTCTCGTCAAATCCGCAGGCATCGTAATAATGTGGGAATGGCTCAGACCAGCCCTCCTGGGTGCAGTTCCTGCTGACCAACTTAAAATCCACCGATCCATCTGTTGGTTGGGGGAAAAAAAAAAATTAAATAGAGCATTTTTTGAAAAATGAGTAAAGTAGAGCAAAAAGCTTTAGAGCAGAGATCTCCAAGCTTGGTGACTTTAAGACTGGTGGACTTCAACTCCCAGAATCCCCCAGCCAGCTGAGGGATTCTGGGAGTTGAAGTCCTCCAGGCTCAAAGTTGCCAAGTTTGGAGATCCTTGTTTTAGAGAAAGAGACAGAACGATTTCAAGAAAAATCTGCCTTTTTCTTCTTCTTTTTTTTGGCTTGGCTTGGCTCTGGCGCCCTACATTGCAAAGTTGTTTGCAAGGTCCCCTAAATGGATTCGACATCAGTGGGATCACTTGGTCAGTGCAAGAAGTGCTAGAGGGGAATGAATGGATGAAAAAAAACATCTCCATTTCTTACCTAGAAGTTGTTCTGGATTCTCAAACATTTCAAACTCTCCTACAAAAAAAAAGAAAAAAAAAAGAGAGAAGATAGAAGTTGAAATCCACTTTAGAACCTATACAGGTAGTCCTTGTCTGACAACAACATTTAGCGACCAAAGTTACAACAACACTGAAAAAAAAAATCACTTATGACCCCTTTTCACACTTACAAACCATTGCAGCATAATCATGTGATCCAAATTGGCAACTGACTCACATTTATGATGGTTGCAGTGTCCCGGGGTCACGTGACCCCCTTTTATGACCTTCTAACCATTAAACTCAATGGGGAAGCCGGATTCGCTTAACAACCGTGGCTAGAAAGGTTGTAAAATGGGGGGGAAATTCACATCAAAGGTGGCTTGTTTAGCCACGGAAATTTTGGGCTCAGTTATGGTCGTAAGTTGAGGATGACTTCCGTATATCCCTTTCTCAACCTATCTAAATGGAGATTAGAAGTAGGTCCTTACCTGGCTGTGCATATGCCATGCTGTTCACATCCCAGCCTGGTGCATAGAAAAAGAAAAAGAGGTTAAAGAACGTAGTTAACAACAAAAATATATATTCTTTCATTATTACATCACCACTTTTCATTTTCCTCCCTTGTATGAAATTTCTGTACTTACTATACCTTCCTAAATTCCCTCTTTCTACTATATTCTAGACCTTAGTTATGTACAAGCAGGGGTACATGCATTTAGAATGGAACACAATGGAACAGAACAGAACAATAGAATTGGAAGGGACCTTGGAGGTCCACTAGTCCAACCCCCTGCTTGGGCAGGAAACCCTATCCCATTTCAGACAAATGGTTGCCCAATATCTTCTTAAAACCTTCCAGTGCTGGAAGTTTAATCCATTTAATTAATCAGAATAGAGCTGGAAGGGACCTTGATGAGTTTCTGTCTTTTATAAACATATACAAATAATCCCCGACTTTCAACCATTTGTTTAGCAAATGTTCAAAGTTACAACAGCACTGAAAAAAGTGAATTACGGCGGGTCCTCGTACTTATGACCCTTTTAGTTTCCTTGCCATCATGAGATCAACATTGGGATGCTTGGCGCCTGGGATGCATTTATGACAGCTGTAGCATCCGGAGATCACATGACTGGCATTTGCAACTTTCCCAGCTGAGTTCCCAGCAAGCAAAGTCAATGGCGGAAGCTGGATTCGCTTAACAAGCATGGTGATTCACTTAGCAATGAGGCAAAAAAGGAAATAAAACCAGGCACGAATCACTTAACAACTGCCTCGCTTAGCCATGAAAAAGAACAGAACAATAGAGCTGGAAAGGACCTTAGAGGTCTTCTAGTTCAACTTCCCGCTCAAGAAGGAAATCCTATTGCTTTTCAGACAAATAGTTGCCATAAGACGAGGACTGTCATTTGTGGCATTGTTGTCATAAGGTGAGGACTATCATTTTTTTCTGGTGGGACAATGTGGACAAATAAATAAATAAGGAAAACCCACAGATAAAAGAAAGAAGCACATCAAACATATATAACACCAAGGGCTGGTTATAACCATCATTTGTTCAATGCCGTTGTAACTTTCAACGGTTGCTGAATGAATGAATGAATGGTTGTATGTCGAGGACTACCTGGATCTGAGCTCATTTGGTCAACTGCAGCACTGGCTATTTATTTTTCATTGTTCTTTCCTTTGCACATGTCAGGTTTATTCATGGTCTAAGTTCCGATTCTGTTCTGTGAAACAGCCAGAGATCTAATTAGAAATATTGTAACCCTCAAATTATGACCACAATTGACCCCAAAATCTCTGCGGCTAAACGAGACAGTTATTAAGTGAATTTTGCCCCATTTTTGCAACCTTCCTTGCTGTAGTTAGGTGAAGCTCTGCAGTCGCTAAGCTAGTAACATGGTTGTTAAGCAAACCTTCCTTCCCCGTTGACTTAGCTTGTCAGAAGGTCTCAAGATACCTCCCCCAGAACACTGACCGTCATAAATTTGAGTCAGTTACCATATGTCTCAATTTTGATCACATGGCCATGGGGAGGCTTCAACAGTCATGTGAAAAATAGTCATAAGTCCACTTTTTTCCAGTGCCATTGTATTTTTGAACCGTCACTAAATGAACTGTCTTGGAGGCTACTCGTAGTGCTTATCGGCCTTCCTTGTCTCCTACAGGAATTGCTTTCTTGGTAACTTCCCACCCCTGATCTGATCTTATTCACAAGTGTTCAAACAGATCCAGAGAATCACAATGAGGACAATTGAGAGGCTGCAATTTAAGTCCTGTAAAAGGAGATTGAAGGAGTTGCGCATAATTCAGCCCTGAAGAGAGAAGTTGGAAGAGGATTACGAGGCTCTTTTTAGATAGTGAAAAGGATAACACGAGCGCAAAGGTCAAGATCTGTTTGCCCTGGTCCCAGTCGCAGAAATAATGCAAGCCCCATGCATTGTGGGTCGTCTATACAGAATATGGGATGGGATGGAGTAGAAAACAGAATAGAACAGAATAGGAGCATATTCTACAAAATAGGGAGTAGAGTAGAGTAGAGTAGAGTAGAGTAGAGTAGAGTAGAGTAGAGTAGAGTAGAGTAGAATAGAATAGAATAGAAAATCTGGAATGGAATGGAAGAGAACAGAATATAGAATAGAATAGAATAGAAACTACGGAATGGAATGGAATAGAAGAGAAATAGAAGAGAATAGAAAATAGAATAGAATAGAAAATAGAATAGAATAGAAACTACGGAATGGAATGGAATAGAAGAGAAATAGAAGAGAATAGAAAATAGAATAGAATAGAAAATAGAATAGAATAGAATAGAAATAAAAGACAATAGTATAGAAAACAGAATAGAAAAGAATAGAATGTGGAATAGAATAAGATTAGAATAGGAGAATATACTACAAAATAGAGAATAGAATACAGAATAGGAATGAATAGTGAATATATTACAAAGAGAATAGAATAGAGAATATACTACAAAATAGAGAATAGAACAGGGAATAGAATAGAATAGAATAGAATAGAATAGAATAGAATAGAGAATATACTACAAAATAGAGAATAGAATAGAGAATAGAACAGAATATGATTGGAAAGGACATTGGAGGTCTTCTACTTTAACCCATTTCCACATATGGCTTATGCTCGTTTCAGAGGGATCCATTAAACAGGAAACCAAGAAGATATTTTATCTCTTTAGGCTGAGTTGAAGGGTACCATAAATGAATTTACGGAAATTCTTAGTTGAACAGCCATAAATGGGTTGTAATGCTTCATTTTGCCACTAGATGGCTGTCCAGGTCCCTCCCCAATGTTGACCATCTTCTGCAGAAGAAACATACCCCAATATAGTCCCCCCAAATACTCATATTTCCCAATTCCATTCTTTTTTTTCTTGGAGATGGACTCAGATAGAAATTCAGCTTCTTCTCTAATCCCTGGTTGATTTTTATAGCCAAGGATTTTGGAGAGGCAATACTCCAGAAGCGTACATAAATAAACTCACCAATAGATCCAATCTTGGAAAGGAGACCTATAAAATCTTGAAAAGTTTTGCAAAGTTCCTGCAAAAGATGTTTCTCCTTGTTTGATCTTGCAAAGGAGTTCTCACCTCTGCAACACTCCAGAAAGTTTGCAAAGTTCTTATCCAGCATAGGAACGGTTGAAAGCCTAGCTAGTCCTTGGCTTATAACCATTCACTTAGTGACCATTTAAAGTTATAATAGTCCTGCTGCATCTCCATTTCGTCTTCTTTTTTAAGGTCTTTTCTCTCTCTGCAATACATAGGTAGTCCTCAACTTGCAACCACTCATTTAGTGACCGTTCAAAGTTACAATGCAACACTGAAAAGGTTACTTTTGACCGTTTTCTCAAACGTACAGCTGTTGCCAGATCCCCATGGTCACGTGATCAAAATTCAGGTGCTTGGCACTTGATTCATACTTATGACAGTCGCAATGTCCCTGGGGTCACATGATCCCCTTTTGCGACCTTCTGAAAAGCGAAGTCAATGGGGAAGCCAGATTCACTTAACAATGGCGTTCCTAAATTAACAAGTGGTTCACTTAACAACGGTGGCAAGAAAAGCCATAAAATGGAAAAGTCGATTTTAAAAAGTCAAAATTTGGGCACTAGGTAACCAGCATGGATTTACCATGATTGTAGGGTTCTGGGGTCGTTTATGGTTCCCTTCTGGCCTACACCTGGGTAGTCCTTGACCTGGGATCTCTTGGTGGTCTCCCATCCAAATGCAGGTAGTCCTTGACCTATGAGCACAATTGAGCCCAATATTTTTTGTTGCAAAGCAAAGCAGTCGTTAAGGGAGCTTTGTCCCATTTTGCAAGCTTTCTTGCCACCGTCGTTAAGCGAATTCCAGCAGTTGTTCAATTAGCCACATGGTTGTTAAGCGAATCCGGCTTCCCCATTGCTCGTCAGAAGATTGCAAAACGAGATCACCTGACGATTTGCCACTCTCATAAATAAGAACTAGTTGCCAACCCTCTGAATTTTTGGAAGCTGCAGCAGTTGCGAAAACCAACTCCCAAGTCACCTTTTTCAGTGCAGTTGTACCTTTGAATGGTCACTAAATGAACTGTTGCTAACTCGAGGACTCCCAGTACTGAGCAGCTCCGAATGTGCGTTTTCCTTTTGCGGGATCAATCGGAGTCAAGAGGTTTGCATTATAAATTTTCTGTATTTACTCCCTTTGTTCCTGTTTATGTTCATACTTATACTTGTTACCTTGTACATGCTTGACAAACAAATAAATAGAATTTAAAAAAAAAAATTAATTTGAGGCTATCTCCTCCTCCTCCTCTGCCTTGGCCTGCTGCAATTCCAAATTTCCTTCTGCAGTTCAGAATGAATGGAGTCCTGGGTTTAAACACCTTACCGTAATCTAAGTTCACCACGGTGAAGAGAGCTGGGCATTTGACAAACACGACTTCACCGATCAAAGCTGGTTTCCAGCAAGTGATATTGTCCCACATCCCGGCGCAACCTGCAGAAATAAAAAAAGAACCACAACTTAAAAAACAATGCACAAAACAGATGGCGGAGAAAGAACCAGCACTCCATCGTGTCTGCCTTTGGGGGGTTTTCTTTGTGTTTTCTTTTTAATTTATTTATGCCTTCATTATTTTGTAATTGCTATATTTTATTTTCTATATTATTATAATTTCATTTATTTTTTATTTATTTGCCTTCTTCTTCCTACTCCTCCTCCTCCCCTTCCTCTTTCTCTTCCTCCCCCTTCCCCCTCCCCCTCCTCTTCTTCTCCTCCTCCTCCTCCCCTCCTCCTCCCTCCTCTTCCTCTCCAGAAACCCCACTCCCTCCTAGCATGATGATGTTTCCTAGTTGGGTCATGAAAGATCTGCAAGAAAACCACCAAGCTCAGAGAATATCAAGGACCCCACAGTCCTCCTCCTCCTCCTCCTCCTCCTCCTCCTCCTGACATTTCCATTATCGGACATTGCTGATCATGTTGCCGATCCTATTTTGGTCAACAACCACACAAAAAAAGGGCTGTTGAGCTTTGTCCAAACTGGTCCCTTCGATTCTGGGGCCACGATATTCTCCTTCTTCTGCCTGGACCTCCTTTGCCTTCCATCTTTCCCTGGAGGATTCAGCGAAGGATGCTGTATTTTCCCCCGTTGCCGCATCGCTTTCTCATAGTTTGGATGGTTTCCCTTGGCTCTCCCAGGCTTTTCTCATTTTATTTGCTATTCCTTCTATTTTATTACTTATTTATTAAATTCACTGTTTTTCATTTATTGTTTCAGTTTTTTTTAATTTTGTGTTTCATTTTTTTTTATTTAATGGCATTTTGTTTTGTTTTATACATCCTCGACTTACAACAGCTCATTTAACGACCATTCGAAGTTACAATGGCACTGGAAAAAGTGACTTATGACCGTTTCTTGCACTTACGACCATTGCAGCATTCCCAGGGTCACGTGATCGAAATTTGGATGCTTGGCAACTGACTCGTATTTATGATGGTTGCAATGTCCCTGGGGGGTCACGTGATCCTCGTTTGCGACCGTCTGACAGGCAAAGCCAATGGGGGAAACCAGATCCACCTAACAACCGTGTTACTAACTTAATGATTGCAGTGATTCGCTTAACAACTGTAGCAAAGAAAGGTTCTAATATGGGGAAATTTTCACTTAACAACTCTCTTATTTAGCAACAGAAGTTTGGGGTCATAAATCAAGGACTACCTGTACCATGGTCATAACTCAAGGACCTCCTGTAGCAGAAGGAAGAAAGGGATTACACGAAGCTTAAATCTAATGACATTTGAGAACTTCATAAAGAACTTGGCAACTGTATACATGTGGTTTGTTTGTTGTGGTTTTTCTGGGATGTATTTTTTTTCTCCAATCTACATTCTGGAATTTTCTGCCTGTTTCAAAAAGATTGATCTCCATTTATTTTTGGAAGAATGCACAGTGTCGCATGTTAAGTTGATTGAATTCCAGCTTTGCTGCTGGCTCACGCTCTTGCTCAGACTGTCACACTAGGAAGTCACACAAAAATCAAACACGACCCTCAAACTATTAAAAATAAACAATTTTTTAGACACAACCCTTAGAATAATGCATCTAAATACCGCAAAGGCACCATGGTTTGGGGGAACCCAAGTTGCATTCTCTAAAAATTTGAACAAGGGAGAGAGAGAGAGAGAGAGAGAGAGAGAGAGAGAGAGAGAGAGA